TTCAATATCGTTTGACCTTAACTTGTCGTATGGCATACGACCTTATAAACAGAAGCAAAATGTTTATGAAAACTAATTTTTCGATAACCTGTCTTCCAAACAAGGCCTCTGACAAGTTTGGCTGCAACCATAGAAAGGGAAATTTGGAAAAACTGACGACAGTTGAACGACTCGGAAGCTTTTGAAAATAAAGAAAATAACGTAGCCTGATTTCTGAGTGTCTCGGTAATCAGCTGACAGTATTCGTCTTGTTTCGATTGGTAGCCACGAGGATGGCCAAATCAGATACGCGAATACGTAAATGTATTTCTGGTCTTGAATAGAATGAGACTGACGCAAACTTATATGCCCTAGCAAACTGGTCAATACACAGACAGTCTTTGACCTGCCAATTAATACTGCAACAGATAGTCATTACCTGTATTTAGGTCACTAATTTGCCTCAAACAGAGCGGCAAATTTTCCATGCACAAGTGGTGTTGATGCTCGATTTACGAAAAAAATTAGGCGTCTGAAACCCACATTGCAGGAAAATTCACATCAAAGCTCTGTTGCTATGACCTCCAGGCGTTAGCTGGTAACTGATTTGGGCATGCATCCAACGCGTGTACCGAAATATGCTGTTTTTCGCGCACGATCTCACAAGTCTGCAAACCAGGCAGGTTGAAGACAGTAGGAGGGGTCTATAAACTTTACATTCTTCCTCTACAGGTTTTTCCTTGTTTTCCAGAGTTTCACCACCAGAAATATCAGGTCAGACGTATTTAGCGAGTTACCAGAGGTTTTGGTCCGATTTTGGACCTGAAAAACAATTACTAGATTACAGCTAAATTTTCTAGACTTTTAAGTTCTGATGAAAGCCTTATAGACTAAACGATGAAAAGTTCACAGAAAGTCAACTCGGACTGTCCAGTATATTCACCTTCATAGGTTTGTCTCACTGTAGCATTGATGGGGTTCAGATAAACGCTTGAAGGAGAGCGAACAAAGGTATTTCAGAGGGATAATTCGAAGATCTCCGAAGATGAGAGCAAAAACACAGCTTGAAATGCGTTTATACACAAGAAAGTACCATTTAGGGGAGATATGATTTCTGAGCAATTTACCAGAAATCTAAGATATATTGAATTTACGTATATGGTCGCTAATCTGCGCTGTTGTAGCGCCTTCCAGCCCTAGCATAATGGTCCATTCGGGACGTAAACTGTCAGGTTTTGCCACCAGCATTTCCGTGTTCTCCTTCATGTGCTCATGGCGAGTGTTGCATGCTCGCCGAAGGACAAGGCGTTTGTTCGACGGACTGCCAGAACACAATCTGGTAGCCTCCAATACAACAATACATCTTTGTCACGCAGGGCCGAAACCGAACATGAGAGAAACAAAGGGCACATCTTCTAAGATCCACTGATCAAGACTAGTACATTTCAGGTCATCACTGATTTCAGAGGTCAATGAAATACGGTGACCTTTCCACAACTCTACGCTCAAAATAAACCTGAAAGTACCTTGGCTTAGGAGTAATTTAGAACAGGTATCTGGGTGAAGTAATCGTTTCTGGTGTCTCGTCGTTAGACACAGATTCATACACTGGTTAAAAAGAATACATCGACCTAAATATCCAGGAAACAAAATAGGTAAAAACAATTTTTTTGACGATAGCTTAATCAACTTGACCGTGTGAACTACTGACCTTGTTCTCCTTCCTGCTTTTCACGTACAAATATTTATATACAGGCATGTGTCTCTGTACATATATATAGGTTTATGTACATATCCATATGTATCGGGTGGAAACCCAATGAGGATGTGTGATTATTTGAAGTGAATAATTAAATGTTGAAGTTTATAATTAGCTTACATACAGTAACATTATCACGAAGTTCAACATCAGTGACAGGCCTCTTTAGTTATTGTGACAGCTACGAATTGCAGAGAGTATTTTTGATACACAAGTGCTACTGACAGGGTGGTTGAACCAACATTGATGGTTTGGTTTCTAGGATCTCCATCCAGGCAAACGGGATCTTCCGTCCAAAATGATTTGGTTGGTTAGTTTTTCCATACTCCTATTGGTCACTCCCATTCAGAACATGGCTGGGATAAACGAGCTCTGCGAGGAACACCGTCCTGTAGAAAACGGCATGTGTCCTATTCAGCGTAAAATTTCAAGCGTGTAAGATATTCCTCGTAGTGGAGCTCCGAACTTTTGAAACCATCTGGAACACTTCAACAATTCTCAATCTATGCGACCATCAGACCGGACCTAAGCTTCGGGGGCACCAACAATCAAACACTGGTAACTCCGTATGTCCTGTGCCAGCATACTCTACGCTTCTGATCCATAAAGTAGTATGGATCGCTTGCCGCAGAGTACGCTCTTCTTGACGGAAGAGAGCCAGAGGCGGTCAGACAATGACTTGGGAGCGAAGTGTGAAGGCCATTACCAGCAAACTCAGCTGCGCTGGTCACTGCCGTCTTCCTGGCAACCCACTGTACCTACCCCCACCCCCAAAAAACATCGATGAACGAAACTGCGGCAGCTACAACCAGTGTACGACGAGTACGCGGTTCTTACAGCTGACGATGATGATTAAAGTGACCTCAAGCCAGCACCACAGGTGTCTGAAATTGGCAAAAGCTGTCCCGAACCTCCATAAAAGAAAAGCTTTCTTGTGTCGAACCGAGATATTTGCAAATTTTTAGGTAGAAAAATTTATTTACCACACTGATTGTCTCATCTGTAAGCATGAGTTTTGGGCTGAATCCTACTAGGTGTTCTAGCTGGAATTCACAGCCATGCAGTTCAAATTGAACAGTGCGGCACAATCATCATCATCATCATCAACAACGACAGCATGTTATCAGTGTTCAACACCGATGCTTCACTGCCGTACAACCATGACTTATTTGAAGGCCTTATTGTAAAGAAAGGGATAAAAGTGGACGGGTAAGTGACTTAGTGCTAGCTTACCACAATCATTCCGAGGTGCCTACACCTCCAGACATTCACTCAGGCAATCACCGAGGTTTTTTCAAAAAAAGATGGCTTGCATCTCTAAGGGAGATCAGTATCGTCCATATACTCATTTTCTGTGACTGTAATCCAATTTTTTGGGAGATGCGGGTGCCGAATGTCTCGCCACGTTGGGGAAATAATATTTCAAAATTGTTTACTGTTGTTGATAGCAGGCCGATTTTGGTGCTCCTTTCAGGCTGGTTGAGTTTTTCCAGAAGTTGTGCAGCTTCAGTCCGCAGTGTTGTGGGTTGTGAAATTACCTCTTCAAACTTTGATGGACTTGAAGGGAGAGGCAATTAAGTTCGGAGTACGAGTCCAAACGCAACAAAATAGAGCATTTTGGCGCAAAAGGTTTCATTCCACTTGCAAAGTTTCTGCAACTAAGACCATTGTGCGGCCAATGTCTCCCCTCCCTACAAGCCATCGGACAACAAAGGAAAACGTGTAGCAGCTATACTGCGGAGAAAACACGTTTCCGCCGTCCGGAATTTCACCAAGAAACTCTCCCAAACGATAAGTTTCTCTTTTGACTCGCTTCACATTTCGCATTACATTTATTTACGTACGTGTTGCAACTCACCACCATCAATCATAGTAAAAACTTTTATTAGTGCATATACATTCTGAATTATATAATGGCTACCGAAACCCGTGCACTAATACGGTAGCTAGCTGAATTGTGCGCAATAAAAATGGGAGTGTAGTTATCCAAATTGTGGACGAATTATCAATCAACCCTGGCAAACCTCTTCTCAGTTGCCACTGTCAGTGTATTGCAACGGATTAGACGCGTGCGACAGTCAATGCATCATCCGGAACTAAAAATCAGTTGTCTGGCTATCCAGTGCTCAGTTGTTCAATCGGACCACCTCCTTCCCAGGTTTTGTGCCGTCTTAAAGCACCACAGAATGATTCTTTCTGGACAAGTTAACCAACAGGACGGTCTATGTGAAGAGGTAGGATCCGATATCATAATTCCGGTAAACTCGTGGTGTGACTAACTTGTTTGCTTCCAGAATGAAACTCGGCGAACTACCCAGAACATAAGGTCTGAAGCGGTAACAAACTTTGAGCATGAGGCTTCGAGTCACAATCGTGAAAGGCCTACTTCGATGGCATAGTTTCAGTTAATGAGCAATAGACAATGATCTGAATGTCAAAAAGGCCATTACGATGAAAGAGGCGAGGGAAATGTGACTAGAGGTTCGAACAAAAAAGGCTATTGGGAGAGAAACGTGGTCATTTCAGCAAACATGACCTACCCTACAGCGGCTTGATTCTGTCCCATGTCCGGGAATCTAGCGGCCACTAGGCAACAAAACTCCCTAGGGTGGGTCGCATTATTAAAGGTACTTTCACAAGAACCACTCGATTTTTAGAGGGTATTACATTAGCTGTTTGTGCATTTATTTGCCCAAAACATCTAGTTTGATCCATGCAAGCAAACGCCGTCACATTAAAGTTTTGGGCCTTCAGTTAGCGATACATGTGGAACGTGCCACACGATCTGAAATATCACGCATCCCAAATAGTATTTCAGAACACAAGTGCACTCCTTTGGATATTGACGGAACATACCCCATCGGATTTTATGAAACGAACGAATATATCGTTACAATTTCATTAAAGTCTACCTGACTGAGTGTCACGTGACTCTGGCTTTGTGTTCCATTCATATCGATCCACAGTTTTAAAGCCTATTACACACATTGATTTTTTCAGACATTCGTTATGACTTAACACCATGGGTTCCTGTTCCTCTAAGGAAGAAATAAGGGGGAATCAACACCCAGTTCCTTTTCATTCAAGAGAGTATCCGCTAGAAAACCCAAGGATTAGGTGGCAGGACCCAGTAGGCTACAGACAATCGGCTACTAGCCGATCATTAGAAAGACCCAGTTACCAGAACAAGGAGGGCGTGCCTCACTATAACCAGCAAGGGTCCCCTTCTGAAAGGAAATCAACAAAAAGCAGTGTTTATCATTTGTCCGCCTGCTGTGAACCTGTCGGAATGTGTCAAACAGCTGACGATGCATCCTACAGGACTTCGCAAACCCAAACGGATGTTGTTCCGCAGACATTCGTGAATGCGTCGTACGCAAACAGTCCTACAGAAGGCCTCAGCTTAATACACCCTGGGCAAGACCATCCAGATCCGAGTAATACGCCGCTGGCAACCACAGGAAGAACAGTTGACGGGCGATACCAGCTTGAGTTTGCCTGTAATGGAGCAAGTGTAGAAGCCGAAAGTTTCGTTGGTCAAGACAAAGATCAAACGGCGCATCTGATAACCAGGTATGTTATTCGTCATCCTAACTGTATATACGATCCGAAAAAGGGTGAACTACATATTGCAATTTTGCAGAAAATGCCAGTTGAAACAACACAATCGCTAGACATGAAACCGTTGGTGTATACAACGAACCTAACGGGTGGAATCGAAGAGGGTGACTTAACGATAAATGCTATCGATGCACCTGCAGAGCAACTGGAGCCAGAACGTGACACCTACTCACCAAACTTTATTTACCTGGGTTATGATCCTAAACGAGCACGACAGAAAAAAAAATCATGTCAGCAGAAAATACCGGTAGTTCAGACGAAACAGCCAAGGTTCAAAACGAAACGGCCGCGTTCTGTTTCAGCTTACGAGCCTGATACTTCTTTACTGCGATGTCAAGCGGCGTCAACTACCACTGCTACACAGGATACTTCACAGTTGAAGTGGGAACCAGACCCTGACATTAGCAGACAACCCGGTATAATCATGGCTACAGAACCTGTTATTGTGCCTGTCATTGTTAAGCGAAATATGAGGTATATTCCTGTCTCCTCAGTACAGAATGACTGTGGACAAGCAAACAAGACGAGATTTATTGACCTCAAAATCCCAGAAGTTGTTGAACAATTTACAAACAATGGTATCTGTACCAATTTATTTTCCATAGACCCACCCAGTCATATCAATTTTGATCAAAATGAGATAGTTGAGGAAAAAGTTTCAGTAGGCCTGCCATCTGGATCACACTCAATAATGGATTACGAAATGGACGGGGACTCAGAAAGTTTTTGCAATACCTCTGGCTCCATGACAACTCCTGCTGTGCCCTTAAGGTTACCAGAAGAACAAATGTCTTTTGTTTTAAAGTCTACCGACAAGGCTCCTGAATGTTGTACAGCACTTGTATTCACAACTTTGTTGAACGAGCCGGGGGAAGTTGAAGTCTTCGAAGAATGGCCCGACATTAGTCAAGCACATGACTTCGCTGTTCACGCAACACAACGGGGCAACGAGGCAGTGACAAACAAGGAAGTTAAAAGGAACTCTCGAAGAACTTTCTTTGATTTACTTACCACTTTCAAAAGACAAGAGCCACAAACTCAGATACCTGGAGCAAAAACATATGACACTGAATCTAATTCAGTTGCACCCACCGCACAAGAAAACACAGCGCCCGTGTATTCAGAAAAAAATACTACCGTTGCAGAGAACACCGATGTCTTAGCAGAACAACTCCAGGACCAGACTTATCCAGTTGTTCCTGAGAATTCAGTTGATAACAAACCTAAAGCCACTTGCACATGCACCATCAATAAGAAGAAAAACGGGAACTTACTATGTACGGTGGACAAAACGGTAAATATACGTCTGGCGGGAAGTCCGGTAGAAACTTCTGGGTGTGTGAAGAGTGTGACCTCCGTTACCACTCCGAAAATGGCTATGGACGTCATGCTTGATACCCAACAGATGAGTCCTTTTCTTCAAACCCCTGTACGTCGCTTAAATGCTGCAAAACCAACGAATCGAGAGCAAATGGCTGTGGCTCTCAGATCAAAGACCTTTGGTTCGCCAAGTCACCACTACTCATCTGATAGAATAAAGCACCGCAAAGGAAGCGATGAAGTTGATTTATTGAAAGAACGATCAAAGCCAGACCCCTCAGTTCCCAGTTTCCTTCCACCCATTGAAAATGTTCACACAAGCACCATGGCTTCTGACGTCCAACTTCCCACACGAACAAGCAAAACAGAACAAAATGGAAGTGTCACTTTGCCAAAACTAAGGCCGTCTGGTTCGAATTTAAGCGAACACAAAACGGGAGCATCTGTGAATAGAAATAACCATATCCCAAGCAAGTCCAGTAGCAAAACCAGAAAGAAGGTGTACGATATACTCGTTTTGCATCCATCGACGTGATTTTCACCGATGCTACCACACCCACCAACCACAAAGTTGAACCACGCATTTTCCCTTGGTTGGGTTATATTTAATTCATTTAAATCAGTGACAAATGCATATTCTTGTCAGTCATTTCGGATTTAATCAATCCCCCCTTATTTGAAACATTTTCTCCCACACAGCTTTGTTCTGCTTGTGGTTTTATGCCAAGTGGCATAGATACTACACTTTCCCTTCCCAATACATCTAACTTTGCACACATTGCATGCTTACTGATTATATGTCATTTCAAGCACTTGGTTCATCGACTAGAGGACAGAGGAATCCCACTGCTATCGTACCGCTGCAGTGTGCGGTTGACGCCCAGTTGCTGGTGAAAGCGCTTAGCCCGCATGGGATTTTAAGGAAAATTAGCATTGATTAAGCAGAGAAAAAGTGTAATAAGTTTTGAGTTGGACTGGACACATCACTGAGACGTTAGTGCGTTGGCCCTACTGGTGGACGGGCTGGGTGAAATTCTAATGTGGACGGAAGAAATGAGTTGAAATAAGTGAGCTATCCATGACACCATATTAGGAGATGCAACTGGAGAGGGAGTTCGGGAACTCAGTTGCGTCCGAGCAGTGTGGTGGTTAGATTACAGTTATCACAATTCTTTCTAATCTATAATCGCAAGGAGTCCTGAAACGATTGGTTAGAAATGAGTAGCCCCATCAAAAGTGCTCCTTCATATTAGATATTTGATTAATCAAGCTGGTAAGGTCATCTCTGTTAGGCAACATTTCCGCTTTCTGTGTATCGGTTCTGTTGGTTCTCCAGTTATTGGAAGCCAAATTTATGATAATTGATTTTTCATCTTTAGTTTCATAAGACTGGTGACTGTAACAAATGACAGTAATATGAATAGTGGCTTGCCTTTGGCTGAGCTCGAGGTAGGTGAGTAGTTAAGGCGCGGATTTACCGACAGGAAGTTCCTTTTTCGAGCCCATCCTCTGCACCTCGACAGCTTCTATCCTGGCTTGGTAGTTAAGGCGCGGATTTACCGACAGGAAGTTCCTTTTTCGAGCCCATCCTCTGCACCTCGACAGCTTCTATCCTGGCTTGAGAAACTTGGCAGTAAGCACGCACTCGTGTTTCTTTCGGGTGGTGCTGCCGCCATATACCGAAAGGGTACTACGGCTAAAAGATTATTTTTTAAGCCATTCACTCCGGGCGCAAAACGAACGTTTTTTCGGAGACAATATGCGTTTGGACTAGGATGGTCATCGAATGAAAATCTCAAGAGTTGCATTTGGCTTGGCTCAGGTAGATTCATCTAGGCCATGGACAACTAGCACCTTGCTCAAGCCTTTAAAATGCAACAACTCATGGAGACTTGTGCCTGACTACCTAGCTACTAGTGCAGTAGAGCTCTTTTGTGCAACATTTGGGGCAAGTTGTCATTTGTCAGCCTTCCTCGTCTCTGATCAAAGCCTCCTCCTTGGCCCTTACTTCATTACGCATCGTCCGAACCGTGGTCGTTCGTTCATTTTTATTTGAATTCGTGGTACTTGAGAAAAATACCCTCAGCCTCACTCCTACTTAAACCAAAGTTGAAAACTCATTCAGGCCAGGTCTGTTGACTACAGGTACCAAATTGCTGCCTCAGATATACGATAAAGGTTCATACCAAAGTCAAGACTTGAAGCTGCTATGCTGAAAGTATACACATGAACTTGTATAGTTATTTTGAAAAATACTACACTTCAGGCTATTCGGCCAGGCAAGTCATCATCATCATCATCATCATCATCATCATCATTATTAGCTGTAAGAAACTCGTACTTGTCGTACAGTGGTTGTAGCCGCCACCGTTTTGTTCACCGGTGATTCGAAGAGGTGAATAAATCCAGCACTGTAGGTGAACTGTTCAGTAAGGGATTGGGAAGGAGCTACGCATTAAAGGCAATAGCTTGGATGCACGAGCGCCATTGAGGGCGCAACTGAGCCATATCTGACCATGTTTCTAGCCATTGATGTGGCCCGTCTCAGGGTCCCCATCCAGGAAGACGGCAGTGACCAGCGCAGCTGAGTTTGCTGGTAATGGCCTTCACACTTCGCTCCCAAGTCATTGTCTGACCGCCTCTGGCTCTCTTCCACCCTTCACGTGGTTGTGCGAAAAGAGGAGGTCGGTCGACTGGCATACGCAGCACGTGGCCAAGCCAGTGCAACCTATGCATCGTGATCAATTGACCTATCGTGGGTGAGTTATTTCTCCCGATTGTCATTCGACGAACTTCAGCATTCCTGGTCAGGTATTCCCACCAGCTTCGTGCAATGCTCCGAAGACAAGTGTATGTTTAAGGTGGACAATCAGGTCAAAAATGCTTTGTTCACAAAAAAACAATTGCATGTGGGTTGTAATCAATGAACTGGCACGATGTTCAATCATTGTCACGGTACTATACCTTGAATCTGGAAGTTTCACACACACTCTGAATCTAGAGTCTCAAATGAACCTACAAAAATGGGGCAACACTACGTTCCATCCTAGATATGAACGTTCATTGTATCACAAAATAGCCTAAGAATTGTTGACGATGACAATGCCTACAAGAAAATAATTTGGGAACAAATAATTTGAGGAAAATATTTGATTTTGTGAGTACAGTGAGATTGACCGATACGCCATATTCGAACAAGCATTCGAATACGAAATCCTTGCGAGCATTTCTCAGGAATAAGTAGTTAATTTCATTTCTGCCTAACGCTGATATCATCTAGTTTTCATCAAAATTATCAAGAGTTCTCATCTACCTTTGCAAGAAAACTGTAAGAATTCTAATTCCAGGGCCCAGGACGAATTGGTAACGGACAGTTTGTCTGCCCGAAATATGGCTTATCTGTTCAAGGTGCAAGACTTTGCACAATGCACACTTGACCGCAAATGGAAGATCCCACATCAGCTTTACTTTCTACTTGGAGCCAAATAGGGTGGAAGATCAGTGTGAAGGAGACATTCGGCTGTCATCAGGTGGGTCTCCCGCGAAAAACAAATTCGCAAACACCATGTGACTGTCCAAACTGCAATTGTTTGGGAATGTGGGAAAATCAAGCAATGAGAAATTCTGTTGCGTGAAGCGTGGGAAACAGATTGATGACCCTTTTCATTCAAGACTGAAGAAAAACACTTATTGGTCACTTATGAAACACAGATTGATCTGGTCTTGGTATCAGAAACCAAGTCTAAACGTAATTAATTTGAGAAAACGAAACGTCAGATTTCCGACATCGCAGTAAAGCTTGCGATCTGGATGCCCTATATTCAACAACAAAGATAGGTTTTGAATACCCGAAAGTAAAATATTTGCCGAGTTTGGCAGTCCACAAAATGTGGAACATATTGGGTCCCTCGTTTCATAAGAGCTTGATAAACAATCGGTAGTTTTCATTTGGGCAACATTTCGCTTTTGACACAAAAGCTTCATCAGGCCAAGGGAGCAGGTCACCAAATTGGCCAGGTTATAAGGCAGACTGGGAACCAACCAAATAAAAACTAACGATTGTTTATCAGGCTCTTCTCAAACGATGACTTCTCAATTGGTTCTAAACCATTTCCATATTAGGTTCCTGTTTGTCCGCCTCACGAATGTTGCCCAGTTGATTTTGGAGGGCGAAATGCAGGTTCTCTAGTTCTGTTGGTTTTTGTCGATTTATTTAATTAACTAGCGGCTGGTGAGTATTCGTGTATTTCCAAACGACACGTGTGTGCAACGTACAGGAAAAATTTAAGTCAGAAAGCGCATTCGTTTGTTTACTTTCTCTGGAATTTGTACAAATTAAACTTTACTGGTAACTGGTGTTGTGCGTTTAATCGTGAGGCTGCACTTTCAAGATTCAGCAAGCTGTGCGTTCGACTTCGGTGGTGCTTGTTGAGTAATTGATGGTTGTACGAATTCCACCTTCCAAAGCCTTTTAGACGGAGTTTACTAAGTACAGGGTGTCTCATAACAGACGCAAAAATATTACCCATGTTAAAACTTCAACGCCGATTCAAACGTTTATCATTTTTATGTGGAAATTTACCGTGAACAGACTGGCATTACAAAAGAAAGAAACCGCCCCTTTCTTCTATAGCAAGCTGGAGGCGGTATGAGATGTGAGACACAGGATGTTTAACTTTTTCAAGCGTCACTCGTGCACACTCTGCAGTTGTCGCTCTTAACTCCATCAAATTCTTCGGTTTACTTTCATGATATACACGAGCCTTGATCATTCCCCAAAATCAATAATCCAGAAGTGAGGGATCAGGTGACCTTGCTGGTCATAAGTTTGGAAGTCCACGAGCGATGACTCTGTCATCAGAAAATTGCTTTCGAAGGTAAGTTCCCACTTGGTTTGAGTAGTGGGGTGGAGCACCATCTCGCTGAAAGACGGTCGATGACTTCTTGTGCTGCCTGGGTTGCGGGGTAACATGCTTTTGCAGCATATGGAGGTTACTGTCACCGGAAACTGTAGCATCAAAGAAAAAGGGACGCAAAGATAATTTGAAGAGAATCCCATCCACACACAGAGATGGGAATAAAGATTATGGGTGAGGTACTCGTGAGGAGCTTCACGGGACCACATCACGCAATGGTGCTTGTTGATTATGCCATCCACAGAAAAATTGGCTTCATCGCTCCATAGAATGTTGGGAACGATTTCTTCATTGCCCAGCTACCAGCTAGCGAACGCGACACGTTACTCCTTGTCTTCCTCAGAGATGTTTTGTAATAAAGTGAAATGATACGGGTAGAGATGAAGGTGGCATCTCATATTACGACGCATGCTGGCGCGGGGAATGCTGGTCAACTGAGACACCTGAGTTATTGACGAAGATGCCATGGTATTTTGGGACTGAAGTTGCTCGACGGCATTCTGTACAATGGGCGCTCTTTCATCATTCAGAGGCTTTCTCCCTTTGCCAGGAAAATCCAGCGCAGATCCAGTGGACTCAAATTTCGCAATCAAGCGTGTAATGGTCGACACTGCGACAG